TGGATTGCCTCCATTAGCTACTGTGGGCATCTTCTCGACTAGATCAATTGCCAAGCGTAGAAGGCCTCGCTGTGCTTCATTCTCCTCTACTGCTGGCTCAACCTCAGACTTGACTGTCTGCCAGACGTCGTCAAAAGATGCTCTAGAGGCCGCTAGCTTGCCACGGTAGTGATCTAGAGTTGGGTTGACGCTAAACTCGTTGTAGGAGCTACCATATCGGAAATGAAGGCCGGCAGATATGGAGAAATCAGATTTGAGAGTGACGGAGAGCTGATTGAGCAGACCTTCTCGGGTTGGTGAGGCATGGGTGATGAAGACGCGTGTTTCGGTTGGATCATAAACGCGGTTGGCGGTGTCGACAAGTTCACCCATCTGGAGTAGCGTAGTCCACATAGTACCCTGGCCACCAGCGATTGTAGTCCGTCCCTCACCATTGTCGAAGAGCTTGTGCATGACCACAGCGCCGCCAAGACCTAGAAGACGTAGCTTGACACCTCCAACATCCAGCAAGCGCGAATGAGATTCGTCGATGATATGTAGGTTGTTGATCTTATACTCGCCAGACCGTAACTTCTCCAACACCTGCACATCTTCGCAAGCACCCCACACAGTGTACACTGGGACATCGAGATTGTAGGTCTTGTTAAGAAAGTAAGGGAGCTCGGAGAGTGGTAGATCTTCTCGACGAATCCGATCTTTGATGGATGGTTGCGCGGGCGAGGTGGCGATTGTGCGCTTCACTCCCTCGGAGAGCAGCGGCGAGTATTGAGCTACGTGACGGAGTGTCCTTTGGAGTTAGAATTATTAGCTGATAATAAAAGTGAAAAATAATCGAAATTGCAACTCACTTCTCAGCAATACGGTCGAGGGAGCGCTCATCGTAGAAACCAAAATCACCAGTGTGAATGATGTAGTCCGCATTGGCATCTTTTGCGAGTTGGTTGAGTGATCGGAGATGACCTTTCCTTCAATGTCAGACTTTACTTTACTCAAACTCAACAAATAATACAACGGGTAACATACCTCGAACATCAGCTATGCATAAAACCCTCACTGGACCTTGTTGGATGACTCTGCCCTGGTTGGGAGCGAGAGGGATAGCACCGGGCATCGGCTGTGGAGCAGCTGGAGCACCGTTGGCCTGATACGCAGCTTGAGCATAGGGACGGGGCTGGTTTCCAGCTTGCTGCTCATTGTTAGCGGGGGGACCTCCAAAACTGAAGCCATAGCTGTTAAGAGATGGGTCTCCTACGGCGGCCATTATTAGCGGTTTGCGAAGACGGAGAAGAAGGAGAGTGTGATAGGTCTAAGGTTCGAAGCTGTGGCGTGGAGTGAGTGAGAGGAGCTTGTTGAAACAATCTGGGTGTGGATTTGTTGCAGGAAGTCGAGGGTGAAGAAAGGCGGAAGTGTCGAGGATGAATTATTATTAAAGTCAAGAACTCTTGTGGTTGTGCTTGCAAAAGTTCGCGACTGCGAGTTGCAGATGCCAAGCAGTGCGCTAGGCTTGATTGGGTTTCTCCTTCAAGATCTCCACACTCCACACTTCTGCACGATAACATTCACCGTTTGTGTTTAGATGAAGTTTTTCACCTCTAGCCTTAAAGCCAGAGTTAGTTCGCCTTTATGTCTTTGAACACGGTTTGTAGATTCATCTTCAACTCACACCACAGTGAATGCGGTCACCCGGGAAAGCAGCTTCAACTCTCATCCCAAAATAGGCAGGAGCCCTTCTACCTGCCTAATCATCTCATGAACGCTCTTTCCCATCTTTTTTGGTCTGGTGCATATCAAAGCAAGCATCCTAGTAGGCCAGATCAAACCCGCGAAAATGGTTATCGTGCATTACAGCACAGCTATCTAGAGCTCTATGGAGCCCCAGACCAACCTCCACAGCTCAAATGATACCGCATTTTTAAGAATCTCTGACCTCCTCCCCCTAAATCAATTTTGCGTTAATATGGCGGCGAAGTTGAGCTTCTCCCTTATGCTCTCGGCTTTATCTTTCCCAATATGCGCGACCATCCCACCACTAGCAGAAATACTATCATTCCCGTCCGTATCAGCCAATATCTCTCAAATTCTGGATGATCCCTTTCCATACTATTTCCCTGCTGAAGCTTCTGCGGGGACGCCGAAGCTTTTTGCTATGCCCAAATGTCATGGTGTGACCTTGCAAGAAGCTACTATTGATCAATTGCAAGATTATATGAATCAAGGTGTTTTGAGTTCAGTGAAAATTGCGCTGTGTTATTTGGAGAGGGTTTGGCAGATTATGGCTATATTAAGTATGTTTTATTTTTCTTAACTTTTGTGGATTTATGTTCCAGATCCCTCTCCTGGTTTTATCACTGTTATATCTTCGTATTTGAAAATCACTGACCACTTCTTATGGTCGTGTTCAACAATCGTATGTTTATGCATTCTGAGACAGTACCTCGTCCCGTTTTACATCTCTGTATAGCCAAAATCCACCATACTAATAAACCCAAAGCTCCGTCCTAGAAATCAGCCCAGACTTCCTCGCCTCCCTCGACGCCGAGCGAGCAGCAGGCACAATACGTGGCCCCCTCCACGGAATCCCCTACATGGTCAAAGACAACATCGCCACAAAAGATAAAATGGAAACAACAGCTGGATCATACGCCCTTCTCGGCTCCGTTGTCCCACGTGACGCATTCGTGGTATCCAAACTCCGCTCTGCTGGGGCACTCTTCTTTGGAAAAGCAACACTAAGTGAATGGGCTGATATGCGCTCAAATAACTACTCTGAAGGGTATTCTGCCAGGGGTGGGCAGGCCAGGAGTCCGTATAACTTGACTGTTAACCCTGGTGGGAGTAGTAGTGGGGGTGCGACTGGTGTAGCGGCGAATGTATTCACTTTTGCGTTGGGTACGGAGACGGATGGGAGTGTTATTAATCCGGCGGAGAGGAATGCGATTGTTGGGTTCAAACCTACTGTTGGTTTGACGAGTCGAGCTGGGTAGATTAATTCTTACTCTTTATCCCGTGATAAGACTTGAGGGGAGGACTAATGAGATTATAGCGTCATTCCCGAATCCAACCACCAAGACACAGTAGGCACCTTCGGCAAAACCGTGAAAGACGCCGTATATGCTATAGACGCAATCTACGGCCCCGACCCCCTTGACAACTACACCTCCGCCCAAATAGGCAAGACACCCCTAGGAGGCTACACCCAATTCCTCACTACCAAATCCTCCCTTGCAAACGCCACATTCGGCATCCCAGGGAAATCCTTCTGGGTCCACGCCGATGAAGAACAACTCGCCATCCTCACATCACTATTGACATTAATAGAAGCCGCCGGTGCCACCATAGTAAATAACACAGAACTTCCCCTCTACGAAACTATCGTTTCCCCCGACGGATGGAGTTGGGATTACGGTACCACGAGGGGCTATCCCAATGAATCCGAATACACAGTCATAAAAGTGGATTTCTACAACAACATCCAAACCTACCTCTCCGAGCTCACTAACACGCAAATACGTACCCTCGAAGATATAATATCTTACAACGAAGCCAATGATGGTACTGAAGGTGGTTTTGCTTACCCGCTAGGTAATCCGGCTTTTTATTCCGGTCAAGATGGCTTTCACGCTAGTGCTGCTACGAAGGGGGTCATGGATGAAACGTACTACCAAGCTCTCTCTTTCATTCAGTCCTCGACACGGGAGAATGGTATAGATGCCGCGTTGTCACTCAGTCCCGATGGTTCTGGTATTAAATTGAATGCACTACTTGTACCATCTGATGTGGGGCAGTCGTATCAGATCGCTGCGCAGGCGGGGTATCCTATGTTAACTATTCCTGTGGGAGTGCATGAGGTTACGGGTATGGGGTTTGGATTGGGTTTTATGCAGACGGCATGGGGGGAGGAGGAGTTGGTTAGGTGGGGAAGTGCGGTGGAGGATTTGATTGTTACGGAGGGGAGGCGGAAGTTTGGGAGAACGTCGCCGAAGTGGTATGGGTATTTAGAGAGGAATTTACCTGTTAGGAATCTGTGAAGAAGCTTGGCGGGGTACATTGAAGGTAGCTTGTATAAACAATGCTATATGGTCCATTTCCCTCTTGCTAAAGCTTCGGGCAATACGATAGGACTATCCAGTGGTTGGTCTCGATTGTGGTATGTATGATGATTCAGGGTTATTTGTGATCGGAAATTTTGTAAGTATCAAATGTGTAAAAATATCGTCTTCAAATCTTCCTGTTGAATCCAAAAAAAAGGTATGTTCGACTGCATGTTAAGAGGAGAAATTATTGGATTCTGTACTTCCGGTAAGAAAGCATCTACTCAAAATAATTTGGAGGCAAAAAAAGATATAATGAGATGAACTCTCCCGCCGCTACTCCACGTTAGTTTGAAACACAATCCAACTTTCTAGGTCAGACTTACGGAATCGAACCCGCTATACAGATGTTAGTACAAACACCTCAGTTTGATGTTGGAGAAGATGAGTACTTACGGCCGTTCGCGGACTCCATTGATACAATGACAAGCGAACATCATAACCACTAGACTACGGAAGATGGGCAAGCTGGGCTTGACGTAGTGAGCTTTTGTTGAGTGGATGTTTAAGTAGGATGGTATTTATATAGATGATTGAGCTGGAAGGTTGGTTGGTTGGGGTGGGTCTAAGACAAGTGGGATTGGAAGGGGTAGGAGCGGTTGAAGGAGAAGGGTGGTGTGTGGTGGAGGGTTGAGACTGTAATGTGTAGCATGGTGTTCGTTAGGACTCAGCCCATAAAGATTGAATTGTACCTAGACCGAGACTGATATAAGAAACTCCTTAGTTGATATAATTCTTTCCATATCCCCTCCCCCATGGAATAAAGCTCAACGGCCTTAGTAGGCTCATAATATTGGGCGTCCACGGTTATCCGACGCTTTGAAAGCACGTGCTATAGTGTTAGTCCCTAGCCACAGTTAATAGCCTGACACATATAGGCCACTTCAAGCATAGCAACTTCAAAATCAAAGCTGAATGGCTCAGTGGAAGAGTCGCCGGGCTCATAATTTGAATAACCCGGAGGTCGCTGGATCGAAACCAGTTTCAGCTATTAAGCATTTCTTTTTTGCTTGCCATTTTTTTTGGAGAGTATATCAAGACTCTAAGGATGGACAGACAGACATTAAGAGAAGGCAGAGGGCGATTATGAATTGAATGAGATGGTCGAACATTAGATTGGGTGAGAGCCATAGCTACCTACTAACGTTTTTGGTTTTTTTTATCAGAGGTGGAAATAAGCACGAAGAAAAGATGGGGCGCGTCGAGGTATACTAGACTTGACGACGATCAGGCAGGTTCGGGTGACTCCTCAATTGCCGACTAAACATGTTGTCGGTTGTGCCAGTGTCAAGAATACCATCTTCGGTAGACAGCCCCACTGCTCATAAAACAATCTGGGAACCTCATAAGCCCCGTCGAAATTCTTCGTCGCAACAGCGTTAGCTGCCCAATCCCCTAAGTTACTCAAGATAAATGCCCTTCTGAGATATCACGTTTAACGCTCGTGCGACTGTGGCTTCCCAATATCAAAATGCTGGCATGTCCACGTGACGATATAGCCGCGAGTGATTGACCAATGAGAGAGCGTATCGCGCTTTCAGCGCGGTGAGTGGAACGACGTCGAGTCACAGTCTCAAACTGAACCCAGCAGTGGTTGGAAAGTGTGTGAGGTGGTGAAAACCAATAGCGCTTGCATTGGACCGAATCGGTGTTGCAAATGGGGAGATTCCGTGGCTTAATCCTAGCGATACAGGACGAATTGGCAATTTCGTGGTATGGGATTGTATGGATCACCGTGGAATATAGGCCTATACGTGCAAGGGAGAGCGCTCTGAGAAATGGTAAAGAGTGACTCGTCCCGCCTCATATTGTTTGATTTCTCTTTCTTCTTTCCTCTTTCCTTTCTCACTTCTGTCCCGGCTCTTAGCTTTAAAATGCAGAGGAATTGCTTGAAGATTTTTGAAAAACTATTGGAAGCCACCCAAGTCCCTGCAGAAAAGACACGGTTGCTAAATCTACACGCTTGAGGCGGGGAGTTGTGCTGTCACGCCCTCCACGCTCGAGTCCTTCGATCCAACATGGTGTGGTGTCGCCGTGGTTCTTTTTTTTGGCCGCATAGAAGTATAGGTAACAAGGTAACTCCAATGAATCTAACCGATTTGTTGTTTGAAGCCATCTGCATAAGTTTGCAGGGTGGTTTGAAGGCAAGCTGCCACGTCGAGTATTCTCGGGGAGCAAAGTGCTGACGTGGAGTGGAGAGGTTTTGAAAAGCGAGACGATCTCTGACCGTAGCAAAGACTTTAGACGGCAGCGCTGTCCATCTAGAAGCCGAACGTCACCGTATGCTAGTAAGTTCGGCGCGGTTACTCGCAATCCCCGGGGCTTGAGAAAACTAATAACAATGCCAGGCCAGTAAAATCTCGCCACGTATTACCTGGTGCTATTGACAGAGATACCTGCTGTCCGTGGTAGTCGTTGGACGGATGAAATGGGAGAATATAATAAAACCAAGGACTAACCAGGCCCGCGGCTGAGGTCTCAAAACAGGTCGGTCGAAACAAGCGCACCAAAATAATTGCTTGACTAGCTGAAAAGTCGCAATTGCAATGATGGAATTACGAGAGAAGACGAATGACAGAAATCTGATAAACGGGAAAAGAGATACGCATGCCTCTCACACCTACCTATTTGCTCCAGCAACCCAAACTCAGCCTAGAGTCCAGAGCCTCTCTAAGTAGCACATCCCTTCGTGGCATGAATATCCTTCGCCTCCTCATCGACCGAAGATAATCTACCCACTTCATGGCTAGCCAGGAAGGGAAAGAGTACTAGAACAACACAAAGCCAACAAATGGTAGCAGGCAGCGCCTTGCCTTTTGCTATCCGTGGTGAGCACATTGGAGGTGTTGAAAAACTCCGAGGAACAATAGCAGTCAAACGAGGCTAACTATATACAGACTAGTAAGGTCACATGACTGAACCATCCCCCTCCATCTCATCTTGACAGAGTTTTCACAAGCACACCATCATCGACGGCCATAGTTCCATCATGAAGATACGTTGTTGCGCGCCAGGTCCTGGTCAAATACCACGGCAACAACATTTGTGGACCCTTATGATGCGCAGGTGGTCGCCGAACGGGCCGCAGCGAACAGCGAAGGAGAGCGGGCGACAGACAACACGCACGGATTGGCCCGGTTAGCAACCGCAACCCTCATCAGCGCGTAGGAGAACAACGTATGGCACGGCAAATTAATCGCAGTGAAAATGTCATTTCATTCGTTATACTAAAAGAGCTTGGACAAAGTGATACAACGAGCGAATCGCCTGATTTCAATTTTCAAAAAATACTGAATTTCCAGCCAAACATTTCCCATCAAAGAACGAAAACCCGCCTGGGACGGTTTGAAATAAGACAAAAGTTGAATAGAAAAGGCACAGACCCGGAAAGTGTTCATCCTTTATCCGCCAGCCACGATCACATTTCCATGGATGGTTTCCTAGGCCTGGTAACTTGTGTAGGTGTAGTTGTAAGCTTGCTGCTGCGAATATGCTGGTGTTTGCTGATAGGCTTGCTGATAGCTTGGAGCGGCTTGCTGGTAAGCTGTAGCGGCTGGCTGTTGGTAAGCTCGGCTCGCTGGTTGTCTACCCCCGTTCAAAGAGCTTCGCATCTTGCTGATTTCGGCGTAAATTTGTTCGATCTCGTAGTCCAAGGTGGTGATGGCCTCGCGAGACTTGAGCACCGAAGCAGGGTTTCTTCCCTCGGCTTGCCAGCGAGTGATTCGATCAGACTCCTGCTGACGCTTGCGGAGCTTGGTATCAGCTCGCTCGCACATTCTGCATTTTTGTGGCTGTGGGATTGTCTCGTTGACAAGTTTCATGCCACACGTTTCACCCATGCGGTATTCTTTCTGGCAGTGTTGGCGGAAGTTGCCCCACTTGAAGTCGCCACAGGCAAAACGGAACTGCTCGTAGAAGCACATTTTCGAATGCAAGAGCTTGGGAACCTGTCGTATTCGGGACCTGCATTAGCTCCCGTTTGCTGTTTCCGACACTCTGGGAATGGCCTACCTAAAAGCTGCTGGGAGACGATGATCTCGAATTCTGATTGGCTTGTTCTTTTGAACAACTGTAAACATTCAGCCTCCTTCCCACAACAACGGGGCCGGCGACTACTCCTTACCAATGGATTATGATCAACAGAGTGTCTGTGGAAGTCTGGTTCCTGATGTTACGGAATACCACTGTCAACGAAGCTGTTGATGTTTGAGAGAGAGAAAACCTTTTCAAGATTCTGGAATTGGACTGGCAGAGAAGAGAAGACTGCTGGGCTGCTGTTTGGAAAATGTTTCTCAGCGGTCCGGGACCTCTATTTATGTTTCGAGACCGATGCTCCCACCCATCGCATTGTTGTTGACCTTCCGTGTTCGGAACGAGCCATCCGTCTGTTCTTTCAACCTACGACGCTGGCTTATCATACCCCACTCGAGCTTGTCCAACAGGAACGCTACGATCCGTACGAATACTCTGTTGTTGACCGCTAGAACGCCTGGGCCGATAGTGATACTACCCTAGGCCTTGTCTGGCGTTGGCAATCTGCAGAAAAAATCCGCAACGACCAGCGATCTCCGGCTCCAGTAGCTTCCCAACCGCGTAATATCGCCGTCCAAGGAGAAAATCCCTCATGGTCCTTGCTTTCCGGTTGCGTTGCGAGCCTCTCGAACGCGCCGTTCGCATTTGTTGTGAAGTTTCGTGGTCTATCAATCCCTGAGGTGCGAGGTCGATATGATCACGTGCTTGCTCCCGTCCCCCAAACTACGGATCGGTCCTTTCTAGGCTAATGGCTCGTTTCGTTCCTTGCGCCATCCATTGGCCGGCGTTTTCTCTTCTTTGTTTATGTCTAAAACCTCGTGTACTTGAAAAAAAGCCCATTTCCATGTCTTGGTATGTCACTTTGTTTGACTCCGAGGTACTTTGGATTGTACTCTTTGTTACTGGACAATCAGCTTCCGTTGTGTCATTTCGTTTCAATGGTCCGCAACTGTCTACCTTCTTTGCCGTTGCCCATCGCACTGAGGTCAATCCTTGCGCAAGGCGAGGCTTGCACAAAGCCGCGTAGGGGTTACGTTGAGAATGCTAATCAGCTTGGTATCTAGGGCTGGGACGATTCAGTCTCCCTCGTTACGCACATGCTCATGCTGTCATTCGTTGCCCCGTCCGACGTACGTGGGATTGCCTTACGTTTCATTTCCTTCAACTTCACTGCCATCCAGTCACCTTATCACAAATTGCTGCACGAGCGGTGGTTCCAGCTTCTTCTGTGGTCCGGTGTATCCAAACACGACAAGCTTTCGCCTTCAGCTAGTGCATGGTGCATTTGGCAGTCTACGCAATGTTGCTCAGCTGACTGAGCTTCCAATATCTTTTGACGCCAATGAGCAAAGTCTGCAGTAGTGACATGCTACTGAAGAATATGCATGCGGCAGGCATGTTTGGCTCGGTTCCATAGCTGCAACAGAGTCTTTGCAGCACTAAATCCGTCCTCGCATGGCCGAACAATCATCATAAATGGGCTTGCACGCTAACATAGCCACCAGGGAATAGCTCATCGGAGATCGTATACGTGGCGACCCCGAACTGGTTGAACGTTGGAGTGGCCAATTCCTCAGTATCATGATCCCAGGAAGCGTGTTGACGTCCAGAAGAGGGGAAATTGCGGATTGTCTGCCTGATGGCTTTATTGTCTAGGCCTGGTGATACGCTACGGCCGGCGAACTGCAGCTTCGCCTTGAAGCAAAGAGGCAAGATCAGACGCACCCTAGCCTGACTTGCCGGTCTCTTCAATGAGCAAGGCGATCCTGACTGGACGGCGAAAGGCCGAGCTTCTTGGTTTGCCAAAGTGGACAAAGTAGTGGCAATGCACATGCGAAGGCAGTGTTGCTCTCAATGCTACTACAGCCAGCGGTTCCGGTTGCCTCACAGCATCAAGGCAATCTTCACTTTGTCCAATTGCTGCTGCCCGATCTTCCTTTTGCAGATGAAATGGTCTAT